TTATTTTGAGACTGTGAACTGATGTAGTTTCATATTTTATATCTTTTTGTTTTTTGAGACTGGCTAAGAGACTGTAGTTATGCATTGAATATTTTTTGTGTTTTTCTCATGATTAAGAATTTTATTTTGATTTACATTCAGTTTTATACTTTAAGAAGTTGTAACATATTTGTTACTGTTATTTTTTTCATGAAGATGTATTTTTTGTTGTTTTGTCTGACATTGTTATGTAGAAAAGTCTGTGACATATTATATTATTTTGCATTTTTGTTTTAATATATGAAGATTGATCGAGCTTGGTTTGCTTTATTTACACTTTGATTTCGTATGATTCAAAATTTAAAAATATTGCATGTATTTTCTACAGAAATTGCTGTAACAAATTCATATGTCTACATATGTCCATGCTTTTGATGTTAAATCATTATAACACTTGAAGTGGATCCGAGCTTACACAATATCACTCAGGGTTTTTTCGTGGGTTTCAGTAATAACGACGGCGATATGGCTAACAAACTTTAATGGTAGTAAGGCACAAAATAATTCACTAACTTAAAAAAAACATGGAACCCGGTAATCCTTAAATCCGGAAGATGGTCACGTCACCTGTTGCCTCTCTCGGCGGCGAAGGGCAACTGCCCCCTCGCTCGATCTACCACAATTTCGTCCACTGTTGCCGAGTTGCCGCGCACCTCACTGAACCACTACACAACCCCCCACTTAAATCGAGGTAACATAGATTTAAGTCTCGAAACAGAGCAGAGGGTGCAAGGCAATACCGGGAACATTACTCCAGTACAACATCGCTAGGCTGCTTATAAGCTTTGAGATTGATTACATTTTCCTTAGAACGAATCTTACCATCAAGATGTCCAATGACATAGGAGTTGGGTCCCGCTTGTTGTAACACAGTATACGGTCCATCATACAGTAAAAAGAATTTAGAAATTAGTTTAGCTTCGGCGGACGAATGAGGATGCGTTTTAACTAGAACCTTATCGCCCGGGTCAAAAGTAACAGGTTTCATCACTTTAGCCCTTTTTACCCTTTTTGCAGCCTCCCTCTTCAGTTTTTCATACGCCACACCTGTATCCTCCTTCAATGTCGTACAGTTTACATCGAAGCGCCACAAACGTAAACAAGAGACAACCCCCCAAGCTTCCTTTTCCGTTACGGTGTAGTTTAATTGACTTCCATTCAAAACAGAACTCATGAGGCAAACATATTGTTTCTCCCCCGTATCACTAATCTGGTAAAGACTGCCCCCCACGGCATATGCGGAAGCATCGCATTGAATATAAAAAGTGCGCTTAAAATCAGGATGAACAAGCATCATGGACTTTAGGAAGGCCGACTTAATAGCCCCAAAACTCTCCATTTCATCGCTCCCCCAGCGCCATTTTTCTCCTTTCTTCAGCAACTTCAACAAAGGCATGGTCAATTCGGCATACCCGGCGCAGAATCGATGTTCATAATTGACCAGACCCAAGAACCCTCGCAGCTCTCTTATATTTCGTGGAACAGGAAAATCAGAAATATTTTTGACACGCCCCTCGTCTATTTCGATTCCCCTTGATGTGATCACATGACCTAGAAAATGTACCTTTTCCCTAATAAACTGACATTTTCTTAGTTTAATTGTAATTCCGGCATCACTAAGTCTCTGAAAAATCGTCTTCAAATGCCTTAAGTGATCCGCTATGTTCTCCGAGTAAATTAATAAATCATCAACATATGACTGCGCGAAATCATTACAGCCCTCCAATATCTTATTTAAGCATCGAATAAGACTTGCCATGGAAGTAGATAACCCAAATGGCAATCGACAAAAACTATATGTTTCACCCTCGAACACAAACCCAAGATATTTGGTATGATCCGGCAATACTGGAATTTGCCAATATGCTTGCGTCAAGTCTATTGTGCTCATAATTTGCCCCTGTTTAAAATTGGCCATTAATTCAAACGGATTGGGAGGATTCACGAAATCCTTCTTCATCTTTGAGTTCAGCCCCCGAGCGTCCAAACACACGCGAATATTCCCATCCCTTTTCTTCACGCAAACTAACGGCGAAATGTAGGAAGTTCTTTCCTTTTGAATAACACCGGCCGCTAACATTTCACCAATCTGCCTTCTAACTTCATCCCGATAAACCATAGGAACAGGATAAGCCACAAAATTAAATTCATTTTCATCCACTAGCTCAATTTGATGAAAATAGTTGACGACGTGTCCCGGTGTATCAGAGAATGTATTCCTATATTTTTCCAAAATACTTAAAAGTGAAGCCTTAGCACTCCCACTCAAAGTAGTTTTCGCTGCTGCTGCCTGAATATCCTTCGCGCTGTAGCCTTTACTGCGGGAATCACCGTCATCAACGCTGTACTCTACCAGTGGCGTAACCCTGCTAGCTTTATTTTCGACTACATCAAACACATAATCATTTTTCTCGCAGAGGTTTATAGATATTTTCTGCGGATCAATCCGAAATGACAGCTTCGTATTTATGGAAACCCCTTCTATCATTAGCTTCAGCTGTGAATATTGATAATCCAAACGTGCATGATGCTTGGATAACCAATTTGATCCAAATATCAAATTGCAATTGAGTTGTGGTATAACCAAACAGTTCACATCCATATCTATTCCATCTAATTGAACTGGAATCAAGATTTGCGACTTTATCTTCTGCGTTTTACCGCCTATTGCTACAGAGATCACTCCTCGTATGACCGGTAAAATTGGAAATTTCCCGAGATTGCTTAACTCTGAATAGAATTTCTCCGAGATTGCGCATATATCTGAGCCGCTGTCGATCAATACTTCTACCAACGTACCAAAAATATGTATCGATATGGTCGGCGAAACCTTTTCATCATCCTGCACTATATCCTCCGGGTCGCTTAAAAGATCGATGTCCGGATCCCCCATGCAAGCCAGTGAACGCACGGTATGTCCCTCATTATTTCCCCTAGCGGTCGACCGCTTATCTCTCGATATCTCTCGCTCGGAATTTGTTCGATTATTTTCAGATCGATTACTATAACCCTGCGCATTATTCATGTTCCTATTCGAACCCCCCACAGTAGACAATTCGTCAATACGTCTCAGATATTCCTCTACCGTATCAGGCGACGTAAAATTATTAATAATCATGCCCCGCTGGACTTCCACATCAAAATGTTTTACCAACATTCCAATTACATTTTGCATCGGAATTTTATTATCAAGAAACTTTGCTTGCGCCACCAGATTCAAGAAATAATCTGCTCGACTGCCATACGAGTGCGTACCGTAGACCAACGTCATATACAACTCTCTTTGTTTTTCAATGCTCCAGAATCTATTTTTAAATGCTAGACGAAATGAAACATAGTCGGTAAAACAATCCTCCTTAACGCTAGCCCAATCGGCCGCCGAACCTCTTAAGCAACCAACAGCTAAACCCAACTGCGCATGCTCAGGAACACCTGCATCGCTAAATATTTTTTCAATTTTCTTTAAAAATAGCATTGGGTGCATTTGCCCATATTTTGAAAATGTGACATTACCACCCCCTAACTCTTTCCAGTTTATTATATAGGATCTATCTTTAATTACAGTCGAACAATCATCTATTCCTTTAGAAGTACAAACAGTCTCCGGCACTGTCTCTATTCCAGACATCAGGCCCTCATATCGTGTGTCGGACGTTGCCACCTTCTCAGCTAGTTGCCCTACCGTACTTTTTAACTCTGTCACTGATATTGCCAAATTTCTAACTAAAGACTCAAGGTCCTCCTGCACCTCCTTTGTACTCTCTGCCCTGCCTCTCCGCGACTTTCTGCTAGACATTTCTACAGCTTACCTCAACGACAAATCGTTACAATACTACAGTAAACTAAAACAAGGAAAGTTTTTTTTGTTACAATGACTGTTTCAACACAGTAAATAATCGTTCATATCCCCCTCTGCTCCACCAGCTATCTCCTAACGCCTCACTGCTTCTCTACCAGCGCCTCGGTGCTCGTACAGAACCCCCCAGCAGCATACACACCCTCAGCTTTCCAAAAATGAAAATGACTTCTCACCCAGATCTGCTTACTCCTCTTGCAATCAACAACACCGCCTGGCTCGTGCCGCTTGAACACAGCAACGCCTCAACGCCTGCTGCTACGTCACGTCGTGCCGCGAAAATCAACCGTCTTCACCTACGCGTACCGTTTTCGTCGCGTCTCGTTCCTTCTCTATCTAACACCTTGCAACCGTTATCGCGCTACGCCGTTCTACTGCCCCACGTTGGGCGCCAAATGAAGTAGATCCGAGCTTACACAATATCACTCAGGGTTTTTTCGTGGGTTTCAGTAATAACGACGGCGATATGGCTAACAAACTTTAATGGTAGTAAGGCACAAAATAATTCACTAACTTAAAAAAAACATGGAACCCGGTAATCCTTAAATCCGGAAGATGGTCACGTCACCTGTTGCCTCTCTCGGCGGCGAAGGGCAACTGCCCCCTCGCTCGATCTACCACAATTTCGTCCACTGTTGCCGAGTTGCCGCGCACCTCACTGAACCACTACACACTTCAGTACGTCACACTGAGAATTTAGTTTCCATTTTACCCCTCCCAGACTGAAATCCTTGGAGCATCACTACCATTTTCGTGCATAGTGCCACCAAATCTACTTCACGTGATCACTTCCCCTCCGCTGCTTGACGGAAAGGAGACATAACACATCAGCTACCTCAACCGCAACATGAAAGATACAAGGATTAGTAAATGTATGGAAATTTCATATGTCAACCTCCATGCACTGCTATGCTTTTGAAACTAATACATTAATGCTGTCAGAGTAAACAATTAGATTAAAATAAGCCCAAACTTCATTTTTATATGCTTTTAATGTCCCAGATAAAATTGCACTTTTATATTATTATCTGCTTTCTTTTTTTGTTCAAAATGGAATAATTTAAGAAGAAATAGTTATAGATAATAGGGGTTAAATATTACCTACCGTTAATATAACAAATATCGTTGGTTTTCATAATTGTCCTTCCGACTTCCTTCATTTCTTCACCTTCCGCTTCAGGCCAAGCAAACCGTATCTCCTGTAAGCTACCTTGCAACATCTTCATGAAGCAATGAGAGTTTTGGTGATCATGAATTCCTGAACCGTGACCTTCACCCCAGCACAAGGCCATCAGGTTATATTTGCCATTACCGCTGTCTACTAAGTTACGGGTATACCTGAAAGAATCGTCGATAAATAACTATAAATTCAGCTAGATAGGTAACTTATTTTCCAGAATATATACATTCCAAGGAAATGGACTAAAACATCTGCAAATAAATAAAATAATCCCCTAGAAGGGAAACCCTTGTTACTACTAAACAGAAGTTTAATGAACGGTGAAGTTTAGATGAATTAGAGAATCAAATTAAGTGATGATTTGGTCTTGGTTTTGTAATTTCAGTCATTTGTTAAATGTCATTTCCGGGTACTCGTATGTTGAAGATTTACATTTTATTTCTGAATAGAGTAACAAATTATGTTAAGATTTTGGTCTAGGACTATATTGATACTTTCTTGATGTCAATCACTTATAAAATGTTAGGTCTGGGAAGGCTTAAGAACTATTTTTTTTATTTCTGAATGGAAAACGCTTTTGGTCTGTATTTGTTTTACCTGTTATGGGATCATATTGAATCACCTGGGGCCGAACAAAATAGATGACCTTTATTATGCTGCTTTTTATATTTCCACGTCAACAGATATAGTTGCCTAATATTAACAATGTTTGAGTTGAGGAAAAGCTGAAATGTACTATACTGACGCGGTTCATCAAATATACTCTTTAATATTGCTGTTTGGATTGTCTCCAGCTGTCCTAAATGTGACATATTTGGCCCTCCCCAAGCAGTGAGACCATATTAAATAAGAGCTGGCGTCCTTCTAATAATTTAGCAAGGTGACGTAAATTATATAACACAATACGCAACTTTTTAACTAGGAACATTATCTGAATGTCCTTGCGTAAATTCGAATCAATATATGTTGTTACATGACTGTATGAAACTGTGCTTGACCTTTAAAAATTGTAAGAGTTTCATAATTATGAAGGTAGATTAACAGCATAAGTCGATCGTCAAACCATTCTTTGATCTTCATAAAATCTCTCTCAGTAAGTATTTTAAGGTCTGCCAATATTTCTGCACTTTACAATACAGCAGCATCATCAGCGTAGCTTACTATGTCACCTTGTACTGCCTGTATGTATAGCTCTTCTAAATATGTTGCAAAGCACTGGAGCCGGAACCGTACCTTGAGGATCACCATAATTAACTATTTATTTTACTCTCTATTTTGTTTGTCAGATAATTGATAGCATCTTGAGCGGACATTACTTCTGAAAACCCATACTGTTTTCTGATGGAATCCTTTTCTGTTTAAGGTACTTGACAAGACGCTCTATGAGTATTTTTTTCACATATGTTTGCAATCGTACATATCACTGATATCGGCCTATAGTTTCTGACATCATCCTAAGAACCACTTTTATGAATTGGAGAAATAACTGCTCTTTTGAATACAGAGGGGAAGTGGCCAGTTCTAAATGATCAGTTTATTATACATTCCAAAGGTTCTTTTACTTCTTTCGCTACTATTTATAACATATCTGATCTAATACCGTCTATATAGGCCCCCCTTTTTTTAATGTACATAGTACTTTTACAATTTCTTGTATAGTTGTTTCTTCCAGATAAAAATACTCAATTATTAGAGTTTTTGTCAGTTTTGTCGATGCGTTTTTGGAATATTGTAGGCAAGTTTCCTTCCAACATATGCAAAATACTCCACAAAACGGTTAGCTGAGAGTGATGGTTCAGTCAGAGTATCTCCTGCTCGTGTGGTTAATTTATTGATGTTATTGTTTGTTTTACAGTGTTGTTGTTTTATAGACTTCCATAGTCTGCTCCTCCAGACAGACTTTTTTCTTACATATTAATATGATCATTGATTAATCACAATATCTCACTCTGTTTTAGAGAAGTATATGGTTAGCGACGTAACGATTGTTTTCAATATTTTAACATGCTTTTTCGGTCCTCCAAATCCTCTGAAAACATTCTGTAACATCTTGTGTGTAATTTCATATTTTATTATGAGACCAAATTATGTTATCTATTATTTCGATTATTCAATTACGAAATGATGATAATTCGGTCATTAGTCATTATACGAACATCCGAGAATTTTTAGAGATACCCCTAAGATGATTTTTTATTGTATATATTTTCCGCTGAAAGTAACAAAAGATGTTATTTCAACACACCAAATAAATAATTGTTTTCGTAACATTCGATAAGGCAAATCAAAATATGCAAACAGACCAATAATATGAAAGGAAAAGTACCACCATGGAACAAATCTAAACTACCGAATAATGACTGTACAGGGATCCAAGGTCGAGTAAATAAAATTAAGAAGATAAAACTTGCAAATTGAATAATTCGATTACCCATATCCAAAGTAGGCTTGAATATAATGTAATATTTGCATAGAGCCATATTTCACTCTTCTAGATAATATTGGAAATCTTCTGACCCACTAAGTTATATTTACTAGTATTATAACTGAAGAGAATGTATGATATGTACATATTATGTACGTATAATGATCCAGCTCACCCGTGAAAGATCATAATATTTAGATTTTCCTATCATTGCTTGAATAAGTATGACCATCGGTTTTGCATTTTTCGTTTTTGGTATTTTGTAATCATGCAAATATTTGTTTTTGTGAGAATTGGTGAGATATGGGTCAAGATTTATCTATCTTAATAGCGACAAATGTTAATAGCGCATTTTATGAATTGCCGGTATCAATACATGATAGATATCACGATCTTTTCACTTGCCGATGGTACCTACTAGCGCGACAGTCGGGAATGTTTCTCCCCAACCACTAATTTAGGACTTCAAGTTTTTTTGGACAAATGAAACCACATAAATGTAGAAATTGCTCTTGACTGACGTTCTGGTCACCATGGGGGCCTTTTCGAAGGTTCAGATCAAATTTACGATCACGAATTTATTTTATATTTATTTGTCTTCTAGGTGACAGTTCACTTGTTTTTCCGCTGCCATATATAGTCTAATAATATAAGTAAATTTCCCCGAAATAATTGTAAATCCTTGTTTGTGCAAGTTGCTCAAGGGGGTTATTAAAAAAAACGAGACAAAATGCAGGTTTTGGCACTTGTTGGTAATGCGACGATAATTTCACGCAACTACTTGACATTCTTCAAATCCGTAAGATCCATACCTCCATATAACAACAACAAAATTGGAGTATATTGGTCAAGTAATTTTTGAGAATTTCTGATTGTTTATCGCAAAACTCCTGTTTTCCGGACATCACATACTAGTTAACTGAGCAATATACAGTGCTCGTTCAAAGAGCATTTAATAGCAAAATACAAGTGTTTACCTTGCCGATATGAATCACAAACCATTCCAAAAGATAAATGTTATTTTTATGCGAAAATCAAAGGTTACCTACATTTTTTCTTCTAAACAAATTCAAACATTTCGTATTTGTGAGTAATTGAACAAATGCGCTACGATATTCGAAAAACATACGTTACTATACACATTTTAAAACAAAGCAGATGTGTCTATCATCTTTTGTTGCGAATTACTCACAAATACGAAATGTTTGAATTTGTTTAGAAGAAAAAAAGTAACCCATCATGTTTGCATAAAAATAACATTTATCTTCCGGAATGGTTTGCGATTCATATAGGCAAGGTAAACTAGTGTATTTTGCTATAAAATGCCCTTTGAACTAACACTGTATGTTGCTCAATAAACTAGTAGTGATGGCCGGAAAACAGCTGTTTTGGAATAAGCAATTAGAATCTCTCAAAAAGTACTTGACCAATCTACTCCAATTTTGTTGTGGTTATTTTGAAGTACGAATCTTACGAATTTAAAGAATTTGAAATCTCTGCGAGAAACCATCGTCGTATAAACAACAAGTGCCAAAACCTGCAGTTTGCCACGGTTTTTGGCCATAACTTTTTTGCTATTAGTCGGATCTTTCTACGTGCGCTCTCATTTTGTAGGTCTCATAAATATCTAAAAATCTCATATGAAAAGTTTTTTCGTTCCGGTCAACACTTTCGATTAAATCCCAAAAAACACGTTTTCTCATTCTTTGTTGTCGAATAAAAAGTTTTCCCACAAAAATTGGTGTACCCATTTTATGCGGCCATGTTTTAAATACCCCCTTGAACAACTTGCAGTAATAAAACCAGAATTCACAATTATTTCGCAAACCAGTGGTATTTTCGTCTAATATGATTAGACATTATTAGACTAATAGTGGGTTGCAACAACAGGCTGAACGATTCTGTACCACGCCAAAATCTGTTGTTTTGGATATATCACACACACACGTCATCCTTGCTCCAAAGCGCCAAACGACTTCCAGAAGGGTGCTTAAAAGTCAACCGACAAGCGTTCTGTCTGGCCCATCCAAAACCAATACATAACCTTATCATGCTCGCTTGTCGCTTTGGGGGTCTGGACGTCTTTAGGAAGCGGGAATGCCTACTCTAGGCGGTCCTGGGCTTTGCTGGCTTTACTCGGTGCCATATTAAAATGGTAATGATGACTTCACGCGATCTTGGCCTGGTACACGACCGTTCAGGCTATTGTTGCAACAATCTGCATAGTATGTGAAAAACACTAATGAACTATCACCTGGTAGACAGATAAATATATTATCATTGTCATTTTGATCTGTACTTCGAAAATACCACCGTGGCAGTCAAAACGTCAGTAAAGAGTAATTTGTGGTTTCATTTGACCATTTTTTAAAAAAACATTTACAATTGGTTTCTTTTATAAAATGAACTAATATAGGAAAACGTCAATCCGACAGAAACTATCAGTTCATGAACTTTCGTGCTAAGTATTCAAAAAACGAGATAGTGGAGTGGCTTCAAACATTGAGGTAACGCTGTGATATACATATATTGAAAAGTTTCTTAATCGCCCAAGTAAGACCATAAGCTTTTAGACATGCTGCACTGAACTATAGGAAAGACAAAATATTTTCTTGCGGTAAACCAGCACATGAGGGTGCTCCATGCCAGGACCCAAAGAAGTGTGATAATTGTAATGTTGAGCGTATAAAAACTGTCCGAAATATAAGATCGAAGCAGCTATACAGAAAGTGA